GATTTTGGTTCCTCCGAAATATTGCAACCACATTTATTGAAAAAAATCACTAGTAAATAGCGAGTCCATATGATAATCAGCGTCCATCAAAACTGAAATAGGTTCCTGATTATCATATGATGCACGGGACATGTAATCTGGTGAAATATGAGAATCTGGCCGATTAGATTCGCCAGAAATTTCTTTTGTAGAATGATGAGCTTCAATCGATGCAGCTGCATTCAGTGTACTGCTCGATTTGTTCTCCGTTTCTATGTGGGCGGTTGTTGCACTAATTTTATGGGCGTTTAACAAGATATACATTCATTCTGAAATCAATTCCCAGCTCTATGAGCAATTTTGAAATAAATTCGCTGCTCTTGTCGCTGGAATAGCAACTGTAAATGACCGGAACTGAGACTCATGTTTCTACAGTATCACTGACAACCAATGTCGTTCAAGGATAGCAACGACACTTCTGAATGATGATTGCACGAAGGCTGACTTTGGTTCGAAATTTTATAAGCCGGCACCAGTTGTTATATCGATTAAGTGCGTGTGTGACCTGTTTGATATAGCGCGTCAAGAAAAGCGGTTTGAACAGTCTCAAATCAGAATCATGGAAGCTCTTATGTAGGAATTGTGCTTGTCCCAACAATACTCTGCTTCTAGTGAATTACATGTATGCCATAATGATTTATTCGTTAATGCAATCCATGCATTTAATTTTGATGGTGTATCAGCTGTTACTTTTGACTCTTGGTATAAGAAGTATGAAGATTTGTTCCGTATTGATCTCTGCAGACTGGATGACGCTTCAAAAGTCAGAATACTGCTAAGAAAACTTGAGACGACAGAACATGAACGCTTTAGTAACTTTATTTTTCCGAAGAACCCACGAAACTTTAGTTTTGATGAAACAATTAAAACTCTGTCTCAAATCATTGGAGAACAGTCACCTCTTTTTAATATCCGTTACAAACGCTTGAAGATAACGAAAGAACCAGGAGATGACTGGGTGAAGTATGCAGGAATTGTGAACCGAAAATGTGAAAGGTTGAAATTGTTTTCCATGACTAAAGATCAGTTCAAATGCCAAGTATTTGTTTGTATCCTGAGTACACTCGAGCATGTTGACATACGAACAATAATACTAAGCAAGCTTGAAAATTGTCCCAACATGACCCCGCAGTAAGTAACTACTGAATGTCAAATGTTAGTGAATTTGGAGAATGATACCTCGATGGTAGAAAACACTAACCAGTTCCTCCACATCAATGCTGTCGAGAGAAACATCTTATATAGTTCCAGAAAGTGTAATTATCGTGATGGCATCGACAAACCATCATCCTCATGCTGGTTATGAAGCGGTTGGTATTTCGAAACGTTTTCTCCGTTTAAAAGTCATTGTTGAACTACGTGTTCCAGAAAAGGACATAAAGAAAGTCATTGTAAAACCCAAAAAAGCCGTCTACCTAAAGTTTATTCTAAAAGATTCAAGCCACGTACAGCTAAATTGACGGTAGATGTTAACAGAACCGGCTTCGATAATTGTAGAAAGTATGTTTCCCTCAAGATCCATGGGTATGATGCCCGCTTAACGCTAGACACAGCCTTTGATATAACACTTGTAAGCAGAATAACGTGGGACTGTAAAAATGTTCTACAAGATGATATTTGGACACCAGTTCATTCTACTAACTGACCATAAACCGCCGTTAACCATTTCTGGGTCGAAGAAAGGTATGCCGGTGTACACAGCAAACAGAGTGCGACGGTGGGGACCTACACTCATGGGTTATAACTTTAATATCAAGTACCAGCCCAATACTGATTTTGGTCAAGCAGAAGCTTTGTCTAAACTGATCAGTTCACGAGTAAAACAAGAAGAATATACCTTGGTGGCAGCAATTGAGAAGGAAGCAGAAGTACATCGAGTATTGGAAGACGCAGTCGATGGTTTACCAGTTACATTCAGAGCCATTGTAGAAGCCACGGAAAATGGCAAGACATTAAGATAATTTAGTGGTCATCTCCTCATCAAGTGGTACAATATTTATGCCGACGAGATTCACTCATGATGGACGACTCATGTATTATATTTGGCGATAGAATTGTTGTTCTCAAAACATCACGCCACAGAGTTCCGATACAGTTCAACAGCGACCATCCCGGGATCAGTAAGATGAAAGCGTTGACTCGAAGTTATGCTTACTGGCCTACAAAGCATTAAGATATCGAGAGCAGATGCAGCACTATCGTCCCAAATGGAAAATCCACTACTGAAGCGATGTTCGGGAGAACCATTCGAACTATATTCAATGTCATGTTGCCACCTGAACCATTGGTCGGACCCAGACAAAATCAGAATATCCGGAGTTTTAACGTTGGTGATAAAGTGCTCGTCAAGTCATACATTGGAAAAAATCGTTAGGAACCTGGAGTCACGGAAAAGAGAATGGGACATGCTCTATCCAAAGTGCCTGAGACTTGTGGAATGTGGATTAGATACATTTATCAAATAAATGGAGGAAAGGTGATTCTAGACACCGTAGATAGTCGAGTGATGTTCCCGCTAGAGATGATTACAGATATGCCAGTGACAGGAACCACAACAGACACTCATAAACGCTTGAAACCAAGGAAATCTGAACGCCGCAGAAAACCAGTTATCAAGTTGTCAGTAGACCCTAAGAAATTGTCTTATTTCTTGAAATGATGGAGGTGTTGGGACGATCCTGAAAATTTCTCACAATACACATAACAAGCTCAGGAAACATTAAAAGGCACTTTATCCAATCAGCGTCTGACCAGAAAGCTTACTAGAAACGTCACGAAAATGAAATGTTGCATGCAGAGGTTCTGATTGGCTGATTACTACACTACTACTGTGTTTAGTAGTATTCTAGAATTTTCAGGAAAACCCAAGGACTTCTACAATACTATAAAAACCCTATATTTTCTGTAGATAAGTGAACCTTTGGAGTAAATTGCTTCTCGTATATTTTTCGCCTTTTCTTTCGTGTTCAAAACGCTGTGAAGTTCTAGCTTGAGGTTAAGTTACTAGCTTAGGATCCGAGTATAACGTTTAATCAGAAAGAATAATCAGAATCCAACTAGGAACTGAGATCAGTTCTTTCAACTTTACAGGTAAGTCTCAGTTACCCTTGTCATTACTGTATGAATTCCTTGTCCTCAATATTTCTTCCACTGATTCCAATCTTTACCATATTCAAATGTGAAATACGAAGTTTATTTCCAAAACATAGTTGATTCTCACTTGTAGTGTAAACAGTAAATACGTATTCAACTATGCATAACTAGCCAAAGCAAACAATATTTGGATTCAAGTAAATTTCAACATGTGATCTCTGCTTCTAAATAATCTATTGATTGAAGTGTTTCATTATCAGTAGAAATTGGTTACTAAAACTTGTCTATCAATTTTGAGTTCTTATTTGCCCTCTCGACTAACCCAAACGGCGTAGTCCACAACGCCAATGTAAACGTTCGCGACATAAATCTTTTACTCCAGACATACTTGGTTCACATACAAACAGACTAGACCTCATCATACCATTTAAATAGAAAATAACAACTATACAAGATAAAACCGAAAGTGGCTGTGATTGTGAGAGATTGTAACTAAAAGGTTGAGGATAACTCTAGAATGGTAAATCGTATGATAGTAGTCAATAGATCAAACGGAAGCTCATAAATAAGAGAGTTATGAATATACATATAGCTTAGTCACTTAATAGTTATTCAATAGGAATATATGTAATGACAGTCTACAAATAGATCCTAACAGATGCTGTTCACTTATTGTTCGTCCAAATATAACAATGACAGAAAAATGTATTTCATCCGTTATAATGTACATTGACAGTACCTAATTCTGTAATTTTGTGTTCAAATACAGTCGATTGTCTCCATTTGTGTTCTCCTTCACTACAGTAATAACCGAATTTATTTATTCTGAGGAAGAAGCTTACATAAAGTCGCAAAACATTGGAAATACAATTTTTCTATTCAGTGGGATATAACAAAACCATATTTTTCTTGTTAACTCTTCACCCAATACTCAATTTATTTGAAACTATCAAGTCAAAACATGACGTTTGACTTCTGTAATTAACTTTATTTTCACGTCAGTTAATTGGATGTAAGCCAACTATTAATATGACAATAGATAGCGTTGCAGCGATCAAGAACACCAGTGAGGATAACCAAATGTATTTCAATATTAAATTACAGAATCTCCCGGTCAAATCTGAGAACCATACATTGAATACTTCATTTGCAAAATGTCAATCAATCGTCTTACACTTTATTGATCATTCTCTGTTCTCGCTCTCTTTTCTTTGATCTACTTAACCTTCTGCCCCTAGATATTTTACTTCCAATGGATGATACATACTACTGATATCTGTCGATACCACACTCATCTCCTTCTCTTTGAAGTATTTGGTTAAACTCACCTGTGTTCTTGTTAATTGTAGTATATTTAGCAATAAATCGTATGATTGACTAGTCGAATTAAGACAATCAAATACAATCACTGAGTATGCATGATTCAATATTTGAAATAGAAGTTTTCCATTTATATTTATCAATGAGTAGTTGAACAAATGAATGATATAAGATGGTGGTTGGAGGTGGTCAACAGTAAACCCTGGATCCGGATTTCGTGCTACTTGTCACTCGTCAGCAAGGTGTACCTGTGATCTTGAGGGAACTGGTGCTTCCTGATGGGTTCGACCCGTATCATTCAGCTTCACACCTTGCTGAGGAGTGCCAAGTAGCACAAAACCCGGGTCCAGGGTTTCCTGTTGACCACCTCCAACCACCATCTTATCTCAGCATAGTGCACGCAGTGTCGTGCCATCTATACTTGATCGATAGCATTCAATCAGCACTAAGACGGACTTGACACGCATGACATTGATCACCACCCAGTGATAAATCAATTGTGAAATGAATGATACTTTACTGTTTATTGTAGAAACATCTTGAACGTGATGGTTTCTATTGTTGAAAATATTGAATGGGAAGGAGACAATGTGCTGAATGTTATGAAACATGTTGGTCGTTTACGTGTTGTATCAAAATATACCAAAAGAGTAGATTGTACTTTATCATTGATAGTCATTTACAATTATAGGTGTTTACACTTGTTGCAATACAAATATCAATAGCATTTGTTGTCATAATGCTTTTTTCAATGCCGTAAATTATTGAATCAATCATAATATTTGTCTTTATGTAGTTGGATAGAATGTCTAAGAAACACGCAACATATACCGTACATTTTTGCTGGTATATTTTTGTACGTTATGTCATTTGTTTATAAATTATTTATAATATGTTCATTAATTTACTCGTCTATATAGTTGTGATTGAATATGTTGATTAGATAATAGGGTAATCTTAAATTACACATTTGAATTTTGTTTCAGTGAAAGATAATAGTAATGTGAACATTTTAATAGAAACTACTTACTTATTAACATACGCTTGTTACTCCTCGAAGGAGAGCATAAGCTGCACACCACCATTCTCCATCCGACTCTATCCTCGAGAATACTCTAGAGTTCTTTCCAGTTAACACTCATCCGTTTCATAGCTACTTCTATTTCGCGGTATAATGTGTTCTTTGGCCTTCCTCTATTCCGCTTCCTTCCAGGATTCGAATATAAGGCATTCCTCGTGATGCAGTCTGGTGATTTCCCTAATGTATGTCCTATACACTCCCAACATCGTTTCCTAATTTCCTCTGCAGATGAAAGCTGGTTTGTCCTCTCACACAGAAGACTGTTTCCGAAAGCATACTGCCAGTGATTGTTGCGTATTTTGCGAAGACAACTGTTTATAAATACTTGTACTTTTTGATGATGGTTGTGGTAGTTCATCAATTTTCCGCCCCATACGATAGAACTGTCTTGACGTTCGATTCGAATATTGTGACTTTGATGTTGATTGACAGTTTTGTTGAGTTCCGCATGTTCTCCAATTGTAAAAATGCTGCCCTTAATTAGTTCGTCAATGATGCTTTCCAGGTACGTAAATGTTTCAAAATCTTCCATGGTTTCGCCAACAAGAGTGATGGGCTTGACGTTCTCCGTGTTCTATTTAAGGATCTTGCTGTTTCCTCTGTGTATGTTGAAACCCATTGATGCAGAGACTACTGCTACATTTGTTGTTTCCATCTGCATTTGTTCTTGTGTATGGTATAAGAGGGCTGAATCATCTTCGAAGACCAAATCATCTATTTGGTTCTGAGATGTCCATTGTATACCGCGCTTCCCCTCAGGTTTCGAAGTCTTCATAATCCAGTCAATCACCAGAAGAGAGAGGAAGAGGGAATGTGGACAGCCTTATCTGACTCCGGTCGTTACTGAAAATGCATCTGTCAGCTGTCCTCCAAGCATGACTTCGCACTGTAATCCGTCGTATGTGTTCTGCATAATGTCCAGTGTCTCATTAGCATCATTTTCAACATGGCTACAACTAGGTGGTGATGGCGATGATCTGAAGCTATGTCAGCTCCTCTCCTAGTTCTCACATCTTCCATTGTCCTTCGGAACTTTTGGTTTATACAAATATGATCTATCTGGTTCTCTGTGATGTGGTCCGGCGAGATCCATGTAACTTTATGTATGCGTTTGTGTGAATATTGTGCACCGTATAACGAATTAGTCGAATGCACACAGATTTGGAATTCTCTCCCCATTTTCATTTCTTTCCCCTAGTCCATGTCGTTCCATTACATTTTCTTCACATCTGGTGTTGTTCACTCCGACTTTAGCGTTTAGATCTCCCATCAGAATGTTGAGGTCCTTTCTTGGGCGTTTCATCATGATTGATTTCAGCCTCGAGTAGAACTGATCTTTGTCGTCGTCGTTGCTATCATTGGTTGGTTCATGACATACGATAACATACATTTTGATCCCCTCCTTCTTTATTTTGAATGATGCTTTAATGATCCTGAACCCGTGAGATTCCTGCCCTTTAAGTACTTAACGTACTTCATTGGAAAGCATCAGAGCAACTCCCTTAGTGAGTGAAGCATTTTCCTCTTCGTGACCGGAGTACAGCAGCATCTCTCACGTATCATGCCTCCGCTGTCCAGCTTGTGTCCAATGGGTTTCGCTGATTCCGAGTACTGCCAATTCGTATTTCCTCATTTCCATTGCTATTTGACTGGTCTTCCCGGTATCCCACATTGTCTGGACGTTCCATGCACCTATAAAGAGTGTTGCTTTTGTTGTAAGAAGGGGTAACGGCCTTGTGACTTCCATGAATTTCGGCTTTCGTCATTAGGCGTCATAATTCTTCCTTCAATTCTGAAGGCAGAGCTTAAATGCTTTGAATTATTTTTCTGGTTAGCGCCTTTTGGCGAGTTAGTTTTCTACGGGATGGGACGAAAGGAGAAGAGGGAAACCAAAGAACATATTACGCCGAGAAATGGAGATAGACAAGAGAAGAATGAACAAGAATGGGATAGAACTATGAAGGAAGGCCCTGGACAGAGTGGTTTGGAGAATGCTGGTCGGAGACCTATGCTCCATTGGGAGTAACAGTATTAAGTAAGTAAGTAAGTAGGTATGTAATTAAGTAAAATAATTAAGATGTTTGTAGGAATTAATGCTAAGGATGAAACTAGTAGTTTCAAATACATCGAGCATTGGATAGAAAGTGTATTGTTATTATCCCAATGAATAGAAAATCGTATTTCTGATGTATTGTGACCTATTATAAGCCACTTCTTCAGGGTATGCGAATAACTGAACATTAAATCAACACAATTTTAAATAATTCAGAGGAAAAAATGCAGAATATTTTTAATACAATCAAAATCATGTCAATTTCTCATGGTACTGGAATGAATAAGCCACTCAATATGGGACATAAATTAAGTACTAATAATTGGATATACTGGCGATCTCATAGCTACTCCATTCATTTGTTTATATAACGTCTGTTCCTCGTCGGTGTGTTGCGATTACATTAACAACATTTACACATTATTCAACATGTTAGTACTTCCTTCTTCCCTTAATTACACACCGCCATAGTGTATTTCTTATTCCCGATACTGTTTGACTGGTCCTACCGGTCTCCCATATTTTTCGGACACTCCATGTACCTATAAAAATTGCTGCCCTAGTTGTTAGAAGAAGCATGTGCCTTGTGACTTCTGAAGAATCTTGGCTTTCATCATGAGGCTTCGTAACTGGGAGGGGAAAATTTAAATTGTTTGTTGTATTCGGCGTTTTTTTAGCAAGGTTACGAGATAAAGTTGCTGATTCCATGCCCAAACATCCAACTTGCCCGGGTTTGAGACTTACAATAGTCCTAGATAAGCTATTGGTGGAATTTAAATTGTTATGCTCAACAGTTATTTCTGTTTTCTTTTGTAGTTCGATTGCATTTGTGATACTACTATTAGTTGTTCTCGTGAAGAATATAAGTGAGAAATATCCACCGAATGTCATGTTTGTAATTATTTATGTAAGAGTTTCCAATAATCATTTCACATATCTGGTCTATTGTTTTTCTGAAAATCTAATTTAATAAAACGTATTTAAATTTGAGTGAAAAGTACTGCTTGTAGATTATAATCCAACGTCACTGTTTGTTATGTCATAGAAGAGGTTTGCGAAATTGGAATACTGACTGATTTCCATATTGATTTTAATCTTCGATTTATCAAGATGGACATACCAGACGTTTCACTGATATTCATAGTACCTTTATATGTTACAGAGACTATTTCCACAATAATCAATCATCCTGAAAGTCAAAACAAACAATCTTGACAAACAATCCATTGCAAACAAAAAGTTCTGCTCAATGAATTTTATATTTTCAATGTCTAAATGAGAGTTACCAATCTGTTTAATACAATCAAATAGAAAATTACATGAATTCTTGAATACCTAAAGTGCTTAAATTGGTACTATTTACTTCAGTTTCCAAAATTATAAACACAATTTTGACTGTGCTTTCAAAGAAAACACTTTCGATAGTACAGTAAGCTAGTTGTGTCAAATTTGAAGGAATCATCTTCCGAGAAAGAATTCATACCTTCAGAAAATATTATTATTCGTCTTATTATACAATATAATCATATATGAATGAATATGTTCCGTTAAAATTATAACATTCCTTCTCATTTTCAGTCTATTTCCATGGCAATAGCAGTAGCAGTTTGGAATTTACAATTAAGTATTCATTGCAAACTTGCAGTCTTTGGAATCAGTTTAGTGTTGTTCACATCTTTATCACTGATTGGTGCAGCGATTAAAACAAAATTGGTTGATCAATCAATTCGTATTCTAATATCCTTTTTCGTTATATCTATTGTAATTTTGGTAGTCGGGTTTTTGCTCAGTCTTTGGCAGTACAAGGTATCCTATTTAGCTAAATTATTTGATCCATCTATTACGTAATCATGATTGAATCTAGTTTTGTTTCATAATAATTGAAAATGTTCATCATAATATTCTATAATAGTTCCAAGCCCTAAACTGTCGTGTGTATTCTAGTTCGTAACCAACGTTTCCATACATTTGAATTCTGAGTAAAATCAATCAAACGTCGAAAGTACTATGTTAGCTCAACTTCTAAATTTCGATTGTATGCAGAAAATATGTGGGTTTTCGATTGTTATGATTAACATCATTTAATGGAATAGGTATTTGCTTGAGCTAGAAGACAAGTTAACTAGGTTAGAAAGTCAACGAGATTATCAGGAAGAGAAATTCATTTCGATAGAGTAAAATAACCACAAACATTATATCGTATAAGTGCGTAGAAAAGTTTTAGAAGAGAATAGAGATCAAATCCATAAATTATTCTGTGCATTAGAGGTCATCTCTAAACGATTTCGTATATTCACTTACGTAGCACTAGTAGATATTACATCCACTCTGAAGAATGTTTTACGATCATCTCTCTGGTATAACACTGAAGCAAATTGACCTACGCGAACATAATGCAATTTGAATAATAGAATGAATAGATAAGCTTTTGAAGAAACGTATCGGAGTCAAAGAGTACCACTACGGCTTCCCATAGAAATTGGAATTCGGAACATTACGACTTTATTTCATAACACGTATACATTACATGTTTATACAACATGTACAAGTTAGAGGCAATATGCGCTTCATAGCACTCACATTCGCAATGGTGCTGTAAACGTTTCTGTCACTGTAATAAAAACATAACATAAGTGATCCGTTTGAATTCTTTTCAATGCAAAATTTGAGATAGAGCAATTGATTAAGCTGATATGAGCTGGATCCCGACATCAGTAAGTACAGATATATCCCACTATCCATCAGGAAGCATAAAGAGAGTTGAATCCGATTTTCATCTAGTCTGTTTTTGTATAGAGTGCATACAATAAATATTAGATTGTGTACTTAATTGGTCAGATGTTGGGATGACGGTGATTGAATTGACTTAGTGATATTTCTGTTATCACCCAGAATTACACACTGACTAAATTCCATATAGTCATATTCGAGTATTGTTCAGTGTGAATTCACTGAAACATTTCCTTGTTTTCAGATTTCAACGATCGGTGCCTACATAGGTGCACAAATACTATTGTTCATTGTGAGTTAGGTTTATGTACATTTTTATTTATCGAATGATCACTATGAAGTAGAAGTGAACTGTTTTGCTTAAATGAATTCTACATTGTCTTCTTGAAGTCCCTACTGAAAATGACTTATATATGATACGGCTGCATGTAAATATACTTCGATACTCTGAGTGATTAGTCATTAGACGAATTGTAATGATCATATACTACATTGCTGTACTTTGTTTCTTTGTCCAGTGATAATGTAGTTTCTGGACAGTTTACTAAGGAGTAACCAAAGGTTTTGGCAAAAGTTCCGATTAACGTGGGAAGCAAATAACTGAAACGTGGCACATAATTAACATCAATACAGCTTTTAAAACGTTTTATAGAAACTGTCAGGGATGAATTGTCACGTTGATCGAAGCCTTGGTTATTCGTAAATTCAAATTTCCTTTATGTGTACAAAAACATTTAGTCATAACGTTGAATTTGTCCTGGTAACTCTTAAGTCATTTTGTGACCTACGGTAATGTGACAATTTCTTATTCTTTCTATACGATGTTAAATTTTTCTCACCCCTTTATTACTTTGTTTGTTTGGACCTTTATTTCAATGGCTTTTAATAGTCTTCATATAAAATGTCCTGAAAAGTATCTGTGTGACCAGATTTTTCTAAATTTGCTGACTATTGACTTGCTCCTATATGATTTCCTGGAGTTGTGACAATAAGCTATGACCAGTGGAGTCCAATCCGTATCGGGTAGAGACAGGTATCTACCTGAGACAATGGATGAATAGTTGCGCAGTCATTCATGGATCGATGGAAGTTAGACATTACCACGTTTGATGCTAACTCAGCGGTCTAGAGGTTAGGCATTCACGTGCGAGACCGAAGGTTCTGGGTCCGAATGCCGCGTGTAGTATCGTGGATACACACTGCTCAGCAGTCCTATACTAAAACGAACAGGCCATCCTGTGCTTTAAGGTTCCCAATGATGGTCTAACATCTTGATTTCAATCGAAATGTATAGCCCAAATACATCACATTTTTCAGATCAACTACATATTACTCTATCGAGATTTATATTAACGGGACTAATTGCTTTACATTTCAACATGGTTCAATAAAAGATTTACATTCCACATAATTAAAGACACGTTTATCTTTGCACTTTAAAATTAGACACGAAACTTTAAGGCGATGATTATTTATTTATTTGAGCACATAAATATTGATACAAATGGGTTTCGAAGACATATGAGCCACACAAGTCACTTGGTTTGTGTGTAGGCTGTGATACTACTCGGGTGTCGAAACCGAAACACATACCTTTCTTAGGAGACCACTGTCCGAATCTCCCACCTACAAGTCTAATCCAGAAGGCAGTGGGAAAACGTTCAGAGGTACAGTCTCATGGTAGCCGGTGAACAACAATTGCTTCATACGCCATTCGTTCCTTCAGGATCCCGAAGCCCATGTACACCCTTGATTTAGAATGACGGGTTTCCAACCCTTTTAGGTCTTCTCTCCGTGTTCACTAACCCAGTTACCTATCCGGACATTCGCTTTTCATCCTACCAATTTCGTAAACAGCAACCCTGACAGTGGAAGGCAATGAGTAGGAGTTCCCTGACAGTGGTTGTATACATGTGGCCATATGACAGCATTTCGAAAGGGAGAACGTACACTCCCCACCCTTGATAGTATCAGAACATTTGGGGGCGCAGTGACTATTGTTATGTTTTCAAATAAACAAAGCCTAAACTGATGTATGTTTGGTTTATTTTACAGATAACAATATTTATGAGTCATTTTACTGTTGGCAAATCAAGATATCTTATTTTCTATCCAAATTATTCACTGGCAGCTATCACATTGTATACCGTATTCCTTTCAAATTTAACAATCAATACTAATATATTAAACGTCGACAATAAGACTGTAAATTGTACTATCCAGTTTAAATTACCGAAAAATTTCATTAGTGTTTAATGGAGATCAAAGAGATCTGTTTTTTGTTTTGGTATTTTTTGTTGCTACATTGAAGTTGAACTCTGAATAATGAACTGAAGTGTATTTTTGTTTTGTTGATTTAATATCGAATCAATTAAAAACGTGTTTGTGTGTGTGTTTTTCATTCTAATGGATTACAATGTAACGTACATTATGAAATTTGTTCAGAAGGGGTTTTGTGGATATTTCAGTATTTTTCAAAGTTGAAATCATGAGTTGATGGAAGCTAGACCACCATCGAAAACCTGGAAACACTGGACGGACGTTTCGTCCTATTATGGGACTCCTCGGCAGTGCGCATCCACGATCCTGCACTTGCGAGATTCGAACCCAGGATCTGCCGGTCTTGAGCCAGAGCCCTTAACCGATAGACCACTGAGCCGGCCGGCATCAAACGGTGTTAATGTCTAACTTCAACTGATCCACGAAGTTGAGCAACCGTTCACCAATGGTCTTCAGTTAGTTGACATCTCACGACAGACGTGATTTGAACTCGACTGGTCACTGCTTCTCACTAGAACTCCTGGATAAACTTCTCAAATTTAGTCACTAGTGAGCATATGATTATATTAATTATCAAAAGGAATCATGGATGCGCACTGTTGAGGATTCCTATAATAAGACGGAACGGCCGTCCGGTGCTTTCAGGTTTTCCATGGTGGTCTAGCTTCAATCGACTCATGGCTTCAACTTTGAAAAATGATTTTGGTTGTTGTTGTTGTTGCGATCTTGAAACTGGTAAAGTGATCTCAATGATAATATCCATCTTCTGTATCGATTAGTCAATCAGTCTACTTAGATGAGTATTATATGAAAAGCATCATTGTCAATAGAATAGTGCGGCCTATGCTCCTCCAACAGGGGTACCAGGCGTAAGTATTTCAGTAAGTAAGTAATGCACAGATCAGTTTACAAAAATCTTTAAAAAATTATGGAAAGTTCACTAAATGAATAATTAGTTGTATCTTTAATGGATCAGAAGTTTTTCATGGTACAAATACAAAAGATTTAATGATAGTTTACTATTATTATGAAGAGAAAATCTAGATGCGATTTGACTAAGATGATCTAGGTTCAAAAGATAAATGGAAATTGAAACAATTCACAACGACTGCATAATTATCAGTATAGTATTCTAGAGATTGTTAAGTTTTTTTGATCGAGATCATACGTTCATCAGTGTTAGACCACCATTGAAAACCTAGAAGCATTGGATGCCTGTCTCATCCTAACAATACGAATACACAATAAGTCCCATACTAAGACAAAATGGCCATCCAATGCTTCCATGTTTACTATGGTGGTTTAATATTGATCACTTCACAATCTATGTCAAAACATTACTACATAATTTTAAAACTGTTCATTTTCTAGTTGATAGTTGAAGACGTTTGAATCATAAATTTCATAACATTTCATACATTGAAAAGCATTTAAATTAAAATCGGTCTACGAAAATTGATGGATTATTCATTGAATCTTCAGTTGGCAATTTTAAAGAAGTCCTCCAGAAAAATCAATAGACTTACTTGCTCACTTACTTACACCTGTCACATCAACATTCTCGATCCCATTCTGTCCTGGATAATCCTTTCCAGTTACTGTTCTTTCTTTTGATGTCTGCTTTCAATTCCCGACGCAGTGTGTTCTTTGATCTTACACTTCAGGATTCTAAATTGGCTCTTGCCACATGATGCAGTTTGATGACTTTCCTATCCATTTTCATTGTTTTTCCTCAATTTACACGATCTGGAAGCTGATATGTTTTCTCCCATGGTATGCTGTTGCTGATAGCAAATATTTTAATCAAAAATTTCAAACATTGGGTACGTCAAATAAGCACAATAAACCCATTTACAAATTTAGTTAACATGATTTTACAGTATTCTATGTGAGATACTCAGGTTTAATTTACTATTATTTTATACTATTAAGTTTCCTCAATAAATAAGTACTCATTAGTCTCTGGACTGTTATGACTTGTTCAAGGTGTCGTCAATTTGTTATGACTTTACAAATAAACAAAGGACGTATTCTAACTCGTTATTGGTTTTTATGTCCGGCTTTTATTCACGTGAATTATCCACCAATGGAAATACGACTTCTTCGGCCTTAACACTGCGACAATCAATGACGTTCGATCAGTATGAGTAATCTAGCGTCCATACTGATCTTTTGTCCGCCCAGCCCTTTTATTTGAGTCCAGAACACCAATGACAGCTCCAGCTATGCGAATCTATGCGAACCGTTTATTTCAAACATACCCGGTTTATATACCAGACAGACAGACCACATCACACCATAAAATAGGAAATAATATTTGTACAAGATCAAGCCAAATGTGGCTGTGAACGTGGAAGACAGTAATAAATAAACTGAGTACAATTTAAGAGCAATAAATCGTATAATAATAATCAATAGGTCAAAATGAAGCTTATGATAAGAGAAATACAGATATACATAATTTAGTTACTGAACAGTTATACAATAGGAATATATTTAATAATAGTCCACTAATAGGTCCTGGAAGTTATCCGTACTTATGTTTTCACTAGGACATAACATAGACATCTTACAAATTGTTATTATTTCAACTTGGAGATTTTTATGTTGGACCAGATGATATCATACAGTTTGTATATACTTGGTGTTGTTTAATTGAATCTCCTCATTATCGCTTGCAACTGAGATTGATCAGTCACTTGTTGGTATATATGCATCCTGTGCTCATTGCCTTAACATTGTTTCAAGTCACAGGCATCATAAGCAAAGAAAGATGGATGGTGAGTAGCAGTGGAATTCATCCCCCGAATTGCACGAAACGTACGTCCCTTATTCCATTGCTAGCCACGATCCATCGTTGCTTATAAAGCTATAACAGTTATAAAATTCGTTTTTATTTCTTCTTAGAATCACAGAATAAATGTTTCATGGAAAAATATTTGGTTATTCCACTTACATGAAATCGTTACCACGGAAATGTAGATAAAGTTTCTCACCATTATTTCTGTGATATTTGTGTATATCAATGTTTCGATGTTCAATTCTGTTAGGGCATGTGAGCAATGAGAAGTTCATAATTAAGTAAGAACATAGTTATTATGATATATCATATAACGTAAATCCCTCTATGAATACCACAGGATGATTTGAGCCCCTTCTTATATATTGGGACAATCAGTGATTGCGACCAATCAGATAAGATTAAGTTCAAATCCTAGATTTTAACTAAAATTGGACCACTATACCTAAAGACCTTTAAAGTCAATCCATCTGAACCAGCTGCAATTCCTCGTTTCAAATTAGTTATAGCCTTATGAACTTCAGCTAGATTCGGGTGACCTATTTCCATGTTCCATTCAGATTGTTTGGGAATGGTGAATAGTTTTAAAATAGCTGAAGGTCAGCTAAAGAGTTTAGTCCATCGTTCTGAACATATGGGTTGAGAGCAGATAAGCGTCGTCTTTTTACGAGATCGTCTCACTTACACTTGACTTCTCAATTTTAGTTTCTTTTATTCGTCTGAAGAGCTGCCTTGTGTTACATACAGCCGCTACATTTTCCGTTTCGAGAAAGAGAGATAACGATTAGTCTAAAACATTGGTTATTTTTTAAATAATATACAAAAAATTAGTTACAAACCTATACTTGTGAGGTGTCTGTAGCATTTACCACGTCCTTTTGTCTGAAAAAGGCTTTGGTTGTGCAAAATGACAGTCGTTGTCGGTGTTTAAACTTGTTAACGGTTTATCAACAAACAATAGTTGAACTAAGAGCAAGCAATATGAAAACTGTTGCGTTTAAATAAGAGTTAAACAAATACATAAAATTGTGAATAACTGCTACAGTGATTGAGATCAAGTAATGATAATGATAAATACAATAAATGTTATAAGTATATGTAAATATTTCAGAACATTACACAACAAACTTGCGTTACAACAGAGGTGCAGAAATCACTAGGAATACAACTATTTACTGAATATTAATAAGTGGTATGAAATAATACACAAAAGAGTTGAAGGGAAGTGAATAAGAATCGAGCGTAAAACAGAATTAATAGTACATCTATCACGGATCAATTGAGGTTGGGCTTGTATCTGATTGAATACCAGTTTAGTGGTCTACAGATCAAGCGTTTGCTCATATCACCAGAGGTTTTGGGTTCAATTCCTAATTACGAAGTCGTGCATACGCCCTGCTGAGGAGTTCTATACGAGCTTGAAACGGTTATTTATTACTTCCACGTTTCCAATGGTTGTTCAACTTAGATCGGTTTAATGATTTCCATGATAACTACCATATCCAACAAACATGATTTACTCTAACGTTACACACTAAAAAGAGTGCGTCATGCATCACTAATGACAAATACTAATAAAGGAAATATTGATCTCTTTCCCTGATCTTCTACACTCCAACTTGTCCTGCTACTTCTTGGTACTTTGTTTGATTGATGAGAATTCTGCATCTTTTCGGTCACTTAATTCATGTGTTTTCAATATAATGATGATGACAGAGAAAGAAATTTTCATATGGCCTCTTTAAAGAATTGAACTAACTAATTTTGACTACAAATCTAATCAGCTACTTTGACTAAATATGTACACTGAGCCTTCTTATTTCAGAACAATAGTATAATAGGGTTACTTTTTCTGTCTAAAGTAATATATACGATTGAGACTTGATCGATTGACCCTAGTCTATAAACTATGCTTAAATGACAAGATTGAAGAGAACTTAATCGTTGTTGAAAAGTGTCTGAGGGTTATTGGTTATCCATGAACGTTTATCAATAAATATGAAAAGATAATATTGAAAGTAACAGAGTGTGCCATAATGGATAGCAAAAACCTATTTTCATACGACTTGGATTCAAAAGAAATAAAGTATCTGGTAAGATTGATCCTAGACTAATGGCTTCATTGAAAAAAATTTATCCAGCAGTAAAACTGATCTCAATATATCACACAGCGTGC